TTGCCCTGCCCGACGTCTCGATAGGGTCATTTTCATGGCTTTCTAAATGTTAACTATTTTTTTATTGGCACAAAGGAACCTTAGAAGGAAACAACTAGGTTTATACGCCTCTCGTTAAATCAAATTACAAACGGTTCTTCTTTCACACCACACACCAAAAAAAAAAATCATATGAAAGTAAAAACCCGTCAAAGTAGTCCTTGATCAGCAAATATTCTGTGGCTCCGGTCAAAGTTCAAGCGAAGTAGCCAAAGGCGAAGACGGCGACTGCCAGCAGCAGGAGCGCGTTCATGTTCACGACCGTCCTCCACAGAGGCTTCTCCGAGGTGTCCGTCAGCTTCTTCCTCAGGGCTGCTTCCTCCTCTTGCGTCAGTTTGGGGCCCTTTCTCTCCAACCCGCAGAATAAATCATAAGCCTTCCTGAAACACCCACGAGGCTTTTCAGGATGATCTGATACAAGGAAAGAAAATCATATTTTCACAAAATATGGGAAGGAAAAATATTTTTCCCCCCAACTAACCTTGGCCGTCCCTGGTCGGTATCATGCCTGTTACTGTAAGGAATAATCGCAAACATCTCTAAGCTTTAGAAGGGCCCCTGAGAATATAGATATGGATAAGTTTGATTATGTAAATATGAGAAAATTTTGTCTGGCATAAAGTTTAACAAAATAAAAATATAAATGATAAAATGGGGGAAACGTATCTTGTATTACCAAAACAAACAAACTCACTCACTGCCATTAAGTAAGTACTTACTCATAGCGCCCCTCTGGAACAGGGCAGAACTGCCTTGTGGGTTTCCTAACTGTTTACAGGAGTAGTAAGTCTATCTTTCTCCTGAGGAGCGACTGGTGGTTTCGAACTGCCAGACTTGTAGATCACAGCCCAGGTGTAACCACTACGCCACCTGGGCTCCTGTTTTATATCACCCAAGTATAATATGCTTACTATATATCAAGTTTCCAAAAACAGGGAAGAAAAGACCACTAACAATTTAATCTCATGCAACCATGCTAGAGAAATTAAAAGAAAAGGTTTAAAGGAAAAAAATGCCTCGATTCCACTTAAAAAGGAGAAATTGAAATGGAAGCTATACTAAAATATCACTTCTCATTCATCAGGAGCAAACATTTTAAAGTTTCACAATATGTTATGTTAGGACAGAAACTGGCACTCCTCACGTATTCTTGCTAGAAAAGCTTGCTTGAACCCTCTTTGAAGAAGATTTGATGGGGGGCCCGGGGGGGTTTTAGGTTTTGTTGTTGTTGTTCCACTTTCCTTTTTTTGGTTTGATTGTTTGACTTGTTCATTTTTTTGTTTTTTGATTTTTTTGCCATTACCTTTTTTGGGGAAAAAAAGGATTTAGCAATACAGCCAAACTTGCATAAGAATTGATCCTCTGACCCAAAGTTCAGCTTTGCAAAATCTATTCCAATGATAGACAGGTTAAATTATGAAAAAGGTTTGTGCACAAAGCTATTCATTGTAGCATTGGAAAATTTAGAACCTCCTATCAAATTCAAATATCTAAGAAAATTCATGATGAAAGTATTATGGTATTTAGAAATAAAGGATAAAGAACGTGATTGTGAACTTGGTAGCTGGTAGATATTTCCAATTATATAATGGATGAATGGACAGACTGATGGACTGGAAGATGAATAGGTATATTTCATATGACACAAGTTATTTTGGTCATTGGGAAGTTATGATTTGCCTTCAATGCAATAACTTTCTCAGAAGTTGAATTTTGCAGCATTTAAGAACTTCACCAAGCCAAGCCAGCAGAGATCCTGTAGGAAAGCCAAAGGTAGACCAGATATTACCTTCTTCAACATCATCATCAGCTTCTTCTGGTCTTTTCTCTTCTGCATCTAAATCAATTCGTTCCTCTGTACAGTTTCGAAGGGACCAGCACAGGCGATAGAGCTGACCAAAGACCATACAGAAATCCATCAGTGACACAGACATCCATCAGTGATACAGAAATCCATCAGTGATACAGTGTTTACAATAAAACACGATACTGTTCCTGGTGGCCTAGTGGATTATGCATTGGGCTGCTAGCCACAAGGTCAGTAGTTTGGATCTACCAACTGTTCTGAAGAAGAAAGATGAGGTTTTTTCTGCTCCTTTAAAAATTTACAGCCTCAGAAAACCCATGGGGTAAATCTACCCTGTTCTATAGGGTCATTGTAAGCCAGAATCTCGTCGAAGCAGCACGTTACTTTGGTTTATTTTATGGTTTTAAGAAAAATCAAGCAGTTAAAAAGGGAGTATAGATGGCATTTAAAAAGATCTTCTAACCATATCTACTCAGCAAAACCCTTAAAATGATTTCCTTTAAAAAGTTCTTCTAATAGTTATTCACAATCTAAATAACAAATTTAAGATCTCTTCTTCTGGATTTATAATCCATAATGATTGAGGACCTAACTCATTTATATTAGAGTTTAGCTTGGCTCATTGTCCCCAAACCCAAATGTTATCAGATACATCACTGATTATTCAGTACATCGAGTGATTACTTTTAAAACTTTTAAAATATCTCATTAAGCTCTATTCTGGATCTAACATGCTTACATATGTGTATTGTTCACAAGTCCAATCGTAATTGGAGTGACGCTTTCTTGAGTGGTGCTTTCTCAATCCCACCTCTTCTGTCAGGTTTGCATTGTTGCCCCCCACCCCCAACAGTTTTATCAGCACATAATTTATACATCTCACAATTTACAGATCATACAATCATTCAGTCATATCAAGGGGAATTATACAATCCCCACCACATCTATCTGAGAACCTTCCGCCCAACCCCCTGGCTAAATCGCCTTTAAAATGAGTTGTGCAATCATTTGTACAAACATCAGTTCTAGTACTCCCTCCCCCCTCCTGCCTTCATTATTCCCCAAATCCCCTTTCCCTCCCTATCCCCTATCCCCCACCCCTGAATTCCCTACATCTTTTATCAGTTATTATCATGATACATCCACTCGTCCTGTGCTTCACAGGTGGGAAACCCAACAAAAAACAATGAAACCCAAATCATACTAAGGTGGTAAGGGTGAGATCATATTAGCATAAAGACAAACATACAAACAATGCATGAGAGGGAGAAGATCCCCATCAACATTCAAGAAGGCAGGGAAGAAATTTCTGTCCTGCATCCAGTTCAAACTCAGGTCGTGTCTGTACGGAAGTCAACTGGTAAAATATCCAGTTTCATCCGCATCATCAAAATTACAATGGTCTCTGCCTGCTAGTAAGGTTGTTCAGGACTCTCACCTTTGGCTAGAATGGATTTCATTGTTTTAAATGTTAATTTTTGTAGAATTTTAGTTTTTCTATAAATATAATTAATACCTCAATGATATCTGCATGTTGATTTTAATAATTAAAAGCAAATTTTTTCTATTATAATCATACGACTTTTTGTCTCCATAGGTCCAAGATACCATTGACCACAATGAAGAAATATCAGTCCTAGGTTATTCTGACTTAGAATAAATTGTTCTAAGTCTTGACTGGGTTTTTTAATTTATAATTCATCATAGACATAAATTCACGCCTTTAAAAATTGGCTTTATATTAGAAATGAGTTTGTATGTCACGAAAGACATGCATTTTAGTTTTACTTTTCCTCCTTTTTTTTTAGCTACTCAAACCAATATTTAGGTCTGAAGGGTAAAGAGTTTGGAGGGATTTTTTTAAAAAATATTTGTGAGCCTACTCACTTGTTTTATTTTATTTTTTTTTTCTGTGATTTTTAAAAAGCACACTGTATATAGTTGCACACCCCATCTCAACAAATGAAATAAACAATATCTTGTTAAATCCCCCTCCCCCCAATACGGGTTCCTTTCTTTTCTTTATTCTCCTCATCCTTCCTCCTTAATATCCTACACACACACCCCACCCCCCACTCCCACCCCCCCATCCCAGACCCCGTCCTTGGCTTCCCTCATGGTCATCAAAGTTTTATCTTTGGGTGTAAAAACCATGTTTCTGCTGCTTTGTATTTCCTTATAACAGTGGCATTATTAAATACTTATCTTTGTAAGATTGACTAAGTTTGCAAATCATAATATTCTCTAGTTTTGAGCATGTCTTGTGTTTTAGAGAATTGTCATTGCTTTTGATTGACAAAAAATTCCATTGTATTAATGTACCAAAGTTTGTTTATCCATTCCTTTATAATCAGAATTTTGGGTTGTTTCCACGTTTTTGCTATTATGGAAATTGCTGCAATAAACACAGGTGTGCATGTATCTGTCTGTATTTTAGTCTTTATTTCTTTAGGGTACATACCCTAAAGAGAGAGACTGCTGGATCACAAGTACTTGTATTCACACTTGTTTAAGGAAGTGCCACACTGATTTCCACAGTGGTTGCACAATTCTGCAGTCCTACCAGCAATTCCACACCTTCTCTAGCATTTATTATTTTCTGTTTGATATACATATTTAATTTGTATTTCACTTGTTGCTAATGGACTCTAACATTTCTTCAAATGGGAGTTGGCACCTGGATGTCGTCTTTGGTAAATTGTTTATTCATGTCTTGTGTCTGTATTTTGATTGGATTATTTATATTTGTTAGGATGGTGAGGAGTCCTGATGGCATAGTGGTAATGCCTTGGGCTCTGATCCTCAAGGTCAGGAGTTCCAAACCACCAATGGTCTGAATCTGACTTCATCGTGATATTTTGTTTTGTTTTGTTTTTTTGCTTTGGTTTTTGATGCCTTTGCCTATTAGCTAGAATTTTATTGAAAATCATGCTGTCTAGATTCATAGAGACATTGGTCTGTAATTTTCAATTCTGGTAATGTCTTTGCCTGGCTTAGGTCTCAGAGTTATAGCTGCTTCATAAAATGACTTTGGTAGTGTATTGTCCATTTGTATATTATGGAATTGTTTAGGTAAAATTAGTATTAAGTCTTCTCTAAATGTTTGATAGAATTCCCCAGTGAAACCCTCTGGTCTTGGACCTTTTTTTTTTTTTAATGACGTAGCTCTATTTCTTCTCAAGTTTAGAAGCTTGTTGAGAGTTTCTACATCAGTCTGCGACAATTAAGCAAAGAATGCATTTCTAGAAATTTATCCATTTCTTCTAGCTTTTCAAATTTGTTGTGATACAATGTTTCATAATACTGTGTAATTTAAAAAATCTCATTTGGTTCTGTTATAATATCATCTGCTTCATTTCTTATTTGTAGAATTTGTTAATCTTGAACCACTAACCTTGCAATTAGCAGCCTAACTGGTAACCACTATACCACTAAGGCTACATATAGCCTGTGCCTAATATTACAGTTCCTTACCTAGGATCACCTCTCTCAACCATTTCCAGTTTGCATGCCTTAAGGTGTTTTTTCTATGCTTAGATAAACATGCACCTAGCTACATGTATATACAAATGATACACAGTGAATCAGAGCCATTGGGATTCAGAAGTTGACAGGAATTCCTTGTTTTTCTTGGCTTTACAAGTTTTCTGCCTTAGGACACAATATTACCACTTTCTATTGTTCTTTATTGGTGGAAATTATTTAATTTTTCTTCTCTGACAGTTTTCTGCTTCGTATGGGTTCTGGCCTTTACAGGTTGTAGTGTATTTTACCCTATTATCGTATTCTTCAAGGGTTTTAAATAATTATATTATAGGCTTTTTTGTTCAAAGTCAGCAATAGAACTTCCTCGTGTTTTTGAGTAGTTGTGAAATTCAATATGAAATTATTTGTGTACTTATTTCTATAGTGATGGAAATTGGGATCATTCCTATTTCTTCTTTTTTTTTTTGTCTATTAGAAACCTAGATTCTGAAAAAAATTCATGTATCTTTATTTGTACATGATTCATATTCCTTTTTGTGCAAGAACTTTTACATAATGCCTAAACCAAATCTCACTGCCATCAAGTAAATTCTGACCCATAGCGACCTTATAGAAGGTTTCAGTCAGATGCTCTGTAAATCTCTCTGAGGACAGACAGCCTCATCGTTCTCTGTAGAGCTTTTTTGTTAGCAGTTTGATTCTTACCTCACAGTGCCACCTGGACTCTGTATAATATATTGCTTTTGACTGGCCTGGGCCGGGCTAGGATTCAGACCCAGGCTCTCCTGCTTTCTAGACAGGTGCTTTAATTAGTTAAGCCTAGAAGTCAAATTGTTGACTCACAGATGATGAGCACTTTAGAACAGAGAGATGCTGCCAAATTGCTTTCTTACAAATGTTACACATTCATATGCTCACCAATAGTTTTGGGCAGTTCTCTCCATCCTCATGAATACTGGAAATGATACAAATGAAGCTTTTTGCCTATATGAAAAAGAGCATCTTCCTGCCCTATTTTTTTTTTAATGATCACTTGCATCATGTGTTTTTCACTTCTGTGCTGTGTTCGTGCTATTTGTGAAATCTTACTGCCCCAAATAGGCCCATCTCAGACGATAGATAGCTCTATGGTCAAGTTCAGGCCATATGTTCATCTCCCTATGTTCATCTCAACATTACATCTCAACACACATCTCAACATCACATGTAATGGTATCAATTATCTCCCAACTGCATCGTGAATTTATCTTTTTGAGAAGACCCATTTTCCTAATGCCTTTTTTTTTT